ACTAGCAAACACACGCATTAAAAGCATACGGTAGGCATCCGAAGTGCTAACACAAACAGTCCGACATTGGAAATGCAGTTCATCATGGACGGTAGCACTAGTGACTAGCAGAAGTCACAAACAGATCAGCAGTTATAACAAAAAAAGCTAAAAGTAATGTACATGTCCCTTTTCTTTAGGCGTATTGGGTATATAGGGCTTGACCTATATTTGATAGACCTATCGGCACTTGGTGTCTGATGTGGTCAACATCACACCGAATTATAATTATAATAGTAATCTATTTATTTGATTGTGTCTAAAATGAGTGTCAGTCATAGAAATAACAGTGAAACATTATGTAGAGAGAGAATACGAAGTGACACGTAAGAAAAGGAACCGACTACTGAGCCAGATATCTACCTTGTTTACCTTCAGGTCCAATCCTCAGACAGGCCAGCTTTCTCCACCATTAAAAGAAATGACTTATTGCGACTCAGTCTAAAAAGAGGTCAGGAAATATGTGGAAGTAAAAGTGGTAGGCAGTGTCGGATTTGGATGTAAGCTAAATAATTTAGAGCTTAGGGCATCACATTCTGCAGGGGCGTTAAAACCTTTTGCTGACATAATCAATGATTTTACATTATGGAAATTTAAAAAAAAAACGTGTCTTAAAAAGAAAAATTTTGGAAACACTGGCGAATTCGATGCTAGCCTATTGTCAGACTTATCTTCTCTTGAAATATGATGTTTTTGTAGTGCTATACAGATCTACCACCAGTCTAGGCTTGATGGGACCCGAAGCTGTTTAACTCCTTGACGCCCCCACCCTTTTCAGTTGCACCAAATGATCTCTGAAAACTTAAACATGGATACGCCCTTTAAATGTAAAGGACCCTTTTTCTCGCCTTTAGGCGTATTGGGCATATAGGGCTAAACCTATATTTTTTAGAACAATCGACACTTGATGGGTGATGTAGTCAGCCTCACGCAGGCCGCCATCACTTCCCAGCACTTTGTCTGGTTCCCACTCAAGGCTGGGTCGACCTGGGAGCCAAGGTCATTTATGAAAAAAGAAAAAAGTCCGGATCTGAGAGGAGAGGAACCCACGACCTTCCGATCCGCAGTTAAGCGTCTAGCCGCTCCACCACAACCCCTTTAAATATATGGTATTGGAAATATACTGTGGTTACTTTTATTAAAACAAATGCAAAATGTGTTTGCAGAATCAATGGAGTTACGTTACGTAATACTCTAAAACGCTATCAGTTTGTGAATCACTGATACACACCATCTACCCCAAGCAGGGTTAAATTATTCCAGTTAATCTAAAAAAACAAACAAATTTATGTATATATATATTTATGTATATAATATAAGTGCATAAAAGATCCAACTTGGCTCATGTCACACCGATCCAGAAAAATTTGTTTGAGTTTTTAAAATAAAATTACATTTGTAGGGCGCGGAGTGGGTGTTTAGACCCCTGCAGGTTGTAAGGCCCTAAGGTGGTGCTAACGTTTCTTTTGCCTAAAGCCAGCACTGGTGCCAACAGGGTAAACGTGTCTTTACTTACAGGCAAGGAAGTGCACGAGACTAGCCACTCCTTTGATGTTTTCTTTTCCAAGTGTCCTATGAAAAGAGAAGATATTACAACAGTTTCCTCAGTGCTGAATCCACGAAGGCTCACGTGGCTGGGTCACACCAGGATAATTAGTTAGTTAGTTAGTTATTCCTCTTGTGCCAAAGATGGCGCATAGGGCAGAGGTCATAGCTTTCCACGTCTGTCGGTTCTTTGCCACTTGATGTAGGTCTTGAGTGCGACTGAGACCTATGGTTGAGCTCTCCCTTGTGATGGTTCTACGGAGAGTTTCTTTTGGTCTTCCCTGTTTTCTTTTACCCTCTGGTGACCATATGAAGGCTTGGTGGGGAAGTCTCTGTATGTCCATTCTGAGTACGTGGCCGATGTAATTCCAGCGACGCATTCTAATAAAATCAGACACATATTTTTGTTTTGTTTCCTGTCTTATAGATGTATTGGACCTAAAGTCCGACCAGTGAACATTCAATAGCTTTCGGAGGCATCTATTCTCGAAAGCGACTAGTTTCTTATCGATTGATACTGATGATTTCCAACCAGGATAATGGAGGGTGGAAAAGTCCCTAACGGCATCCTCTATTGTGAATTAAAGAAAGACGGGTAGAGGATGTCGAGACCGACCTCTACTAGGATTTACAGATGTGTACAAACAGGACATGAATGATACAGGTATTGAGGTGGACTCGTGGGAATAAAATGCAATGGAATGTGTTGTGTTGAGGGGGCACATCAGAAAGGGAATGCGAAAAAAAAAAAAAGAAAAAAAAAAAAAAAAAAAAAAGAAACACAAGATTACAGAAAGGATGAGAGCTGAGCGTCTGAAAAGAAACGGACTAAACATAAATATTGACAACAGCAGTCCTGAAATCCCACTATATAACTGTGGAAGACTTTTCTTAACGCGGGCAAGTCTTGCTAGACACACTCGCCATTGCCATGGGCTGTGAGTCCCATGCCTTCTTATAACGCAATATAACACTATCGTCTGCAAGACGAAAGGGTGCCAATGATGATGATGAGAATGATGTGCAATTTACCAGTGATTACATTTGTTAAAGCTTCTGCAAAGTAACAAGTCATTAATCAAGAAAAAATGCTCTCGGTGGCCAAGTGGTCAAGCCGTTTGCCCAGAGCTCTAGAGGTCGCGGGTTAGTTTCGCGGCTACATAGTTCAGTTCACAAGTCCAGTTTTTACAACGATCCACGGGGATCATCACCGGAGCTATGGAGTTTGTGATTGTTGTGTGTGACTCTCTCGACAGGCAGCTAGCAGTTCTATGGAGAGAGACTGAACCATGTGAGACAAAACCCAGTGCAATGAAGCTAATCATCTCAAATGTAATTTCAACAGCTGAGGAGAAACAGATATAAGTGAAATGTTAAGAAAAACGAAGAGAAAAAATATATAGGGAGAGGAGATGAAGGGAAAAACAGAAGAAGAAGATAAAGGAATTTCATTTAGTATTTGTTTTCATTTGTGTAAAAAAATCAAACCGAAAGAAGTGATCTTAAATCAGGAGTGTCCAACTAAAGCCTGCGGGTCAAAACTGGCCCACCGAGCACTTTTTAACTGGCTCGCGAGGCTGGCGTAAAATTGCTACATTATCTGGCACTTGGGCTCACATAATATCAGAACATGGAAAGATACTTTTGAATGGAGAAATTTAAAAAAAATAAAAAAAATAAAATTAATTAACAAAAAAAAAAAAAAAAAAAAAAAAAAAGGACAGAATTAGTCATAATAAAAAACTGATACCGCCAAACTATTTCATCTTGGATTATCCCATAAAATTATCCCTTTACAAGAAAATGGATGTTAAAGTTTATCAAGGATTGGTGTTCAATGTGGCCCAGGCTGGTGAATCTATTGACCAGCGGACCAAACAGGGTTGTTCTCTCCTGTTATAGATTATGTATGGCGTTGATATGACCATCACGCTTAATGCACAACACCAAACAAACGGTTATGTAAACACACAAAAACCTTTATCAGTTGCCAAGTCACACCAGGATTATACTACAAACACAGGCACAAGTACAAAAGCCACACACACACAAACACACACACATATATATATATATATAAAGTATACCCTTTTCCACGCCTTTCATGTGTATTGGGTATATAGGGCTAGACACTTATATTTTATAGACCAACGGCACAAGAATGGTGACGTGGTCATCACGCCGGCTGCCTTTACTTCCCATCAGTGCAACAGGTACCCACTCAAGGTTGGGTGGATCTGGGAAAAAAGGTAATTTAAAAAAAAAAAAAAAATTCGGCTTCGCCAGGGAACGAAACCACAACCTTCTGACTCCTATGCTAGTGTTTAGCCGCTACACCACAGCGACTCCCATACACACACACATATATATATATATATATATATATATATATATATATATATATAAACATATGATACCTACATACACATACACGTGCACACACACACACACGTGTACGCATATATATATATATATATATATATATATATATATATATATATATATATATATATATATATATATATATATATATATATATATATATATATATATATATATATATATATATATATATATATATAAGGTGCCGGTACTCACAATGTCTAAAAAGATGGTGATGGTACTCATCGCAAAGTGCCTGTTACAGTAGCGCTGTAAAAAATGTTGATGTTGTGTGCTGACAGAAATAGTTATATGTGTCTGTTTATATTTATAGGTGTGTGTGTGTGAACAAGAGCATATGTATCTCTTACCTGTTTGAAAACGCACATAGGTGTGTATATGTTTCCAATAAGAACTTGTTTTTCATATGTATTCTTTATGGAAAACTTAACTTAAAAACTAAATCACCTTCTTTCTGTTTTCTGAGCTGAAGAATTTTGATAACTTGGCTACTTAGCACGAATGAAAAAGAAAAAAAAACACACAAAGAGAACAAAAGCCTTGCGCTTAAAGGAAGGTGAGGTGGGAGAATCAACAACGCTTTGTTTTCTTCAGCTAATTATTTCATCTGACAGCAGTTGAGCACTTTATCTGGCAGTTAACCCTATCAATTAAAACGCTAGCCAATTACGAACAAGCGATGAAATTAATAGCTCGCAGCTTTCAATTACTGTCATCAGAAACATGACAGGGGTTCGGTAGGAGGGCCTTGCCGGTTAGACTCGCCTCTTGCACTGGCTGTATCGTCAAACAATTCTTCGAGGGCGGGGCTTGATCAGAAAGATCCCGGCGCGAAACGATTAATGCTCCGCGACTGAAACCAACAGACAAGTAGAGTTGGCACAGCAATTCCTGTTTTCCTTTGCTCTCGCTTGAACGGAATTGAACGGCCGGGAGCACGCAAGGACAGTCTCGGGTCAGCTGATGAAGAAAGCGTCAGTTCATGTTTAAAGGACAAATCGAGGACACAAACCATGTTCATTGATTCCGATCCAGACGACGGACAGAGATTTCATTTGCAAAAGGACAAAAATAAGCTGCACCGGCTGTGTGAAAGCAAACTGAAGTATCAGTTGAAACAACACAGTAAGCGACCAGATATACTTTCATACGTGAGTGATAAAACCACCAGAGCTTCTTCCGACTGTGACTCGGTAAGTAATAATAACAAAAGAAATATTAATAACAATGATAACGGCAAAAACGGTACAAGATATGCTTCATTAACAGGACAGTCGTCGGCTTTATTGTCAAAGTCATCGACATCCCCCCTCCGCGAGATGATGCCCACGCCAGGGCTTACTGAAACACTTCGTCAAACTTCTACCGCAAAACAGGAGCACGCTCAGAGCTTCCATGGACATTCTACTCTGAGAGACACTGCCATGCTGACAGCTCTGGACAGTACCAACAACATGAGAAATAATTCAGAATTCAGAGTAGCCAGTCTGTATACAAAAGACGGCAACTCGCTGTTGGCATGTGCGGAGACAAACGCTTTAGCCTTTTATCATAAAACACTAGGGCTGGCTGCTCGACCAGGCCCGCAGATACCCGAAAATTTTTTGCCAACTATAAAACCAAGCGCCCAGCCGTTTGTTTCTTCAAGATCTTCCTCGGTCTCTGAACCTCGAAGTCCACTTCACGGGCAAGGCAGTCCCGGAATGGACGTCTTCTACAGCCCAACACCTCGTTCAGGAGATCGAGTAGAGGAAAAACCAGATGTCTCCACCAACTGCTATTCCCCCTACGTTCTTCGACCATCGTCTCCAGCATCACCGCTTCCATCAGCCATAGCCGCGCGTGTAGAACCTCAGCAAACCTCACAACAAACAACAGATTCTATTTCCCAGAATTGTTGCCCTACAGATAAACTATCTAGGTCGCCAAGAGACAGTGACACGTGCGACAGTGACAAAAGCAGCAGTAGTCGTAAGTCTCCCAAACATCCAGAACCACCTCAAGACGATACATCGTCTCCACAGACTAACATCAACAAAGTGTCTGATCCAATCAGATCGCCAACAAACATTTCCTCGTCACCAGATCTTAGCCGGCAAGAAAAATCGCCAGGTTCCTCTTGCACGTCGTTATCACCGGTATCTTCAACTTCCTCGCCGACAGCGGCTGCCTCAGACAGCCGAACACCCCAGAAAACAACAGCATTCAGTGTGGCGGATATTCTAGATCCTTCCAAATTTACCGGGGGTGGCAAAACACAAGTGTGGAATCCATGGCGGCCACCATCGACTGTTGGTGGGCATCGCGGATTACCATCAGCTCCTTACAGTGTCAAATCTCCAGGGATGACCAGTGATAGCCAAGGTGAGATCTTCCCTTAACTTCGTCGTGTTTGTGTAAGCTGAACCAGTCAATCGTATTCATTCACGAGCCATTTATTTTCTATGTTCTTGAAGTGTTCAACGTTTGATTGTCTTCTTGTCTCTTTGCCAGCGCATGCTGCATTTACCTAAGTTTCTTCCCAAGTTTCTAACAACCACATTGTTTACTTTCGTCATATCTAGCAGATTGAACAACTCTTTTTCAAATATCGTGTCATTAAATTAAAGCAGTTTAACTTTCGAAATGTGAAAAACTAAATCTGTAGTGGACATTGCACCACCTTACCTTGGTTGTAAGAAAGTAAAGTCCATTTTCTACACTATAAGCTTAAAGTGTATATGATGCTAAACAAATATTTGTGTGAACTAATCGTTACTCAGTGGTTGATGTAAAGATCTCTTTCCCACGCTTTCGACAACATTCTGCATATAAGGCTAGACTACAGTTTATAGACATCAGCAGTCGTTGGGCGATGCGGTCAGCATCACATAGCTCCTCTTTACTTCCCATGACCCTACAAGGTACCCATCCAAGGCTGGGTCGACCTGGGAGTCAAGGTTCCAGTATGCTCAGGATCTGAACCCACCACGACCTTCCCATCTGCAGGCGAGCGATTAGCCGCTACACCATGGCTGCTGCCAGTGGGTAGTGGTGTGGATGGCGATAACACAGCACCACATACAAGCACACATCTATCTACATCACAGTACAGTCGATGTGAGTGGACAAATCTGCAGAATATTGCAATAAACTTTTTTAAATAATTCCTAATGTTGAAACGCTCGCACGACACCCAAGAATTATAAACACATTGGTCAGTCTATAATAGTGACTTCTTCAACTGCTCTTGTTACTATTCGCATTGTTATTGTTGCTACTGCTGCTACTACTATTACAACTGCAAGGCTTATAATTATTACTACGGCTGCTGAAACTATTGCTACCATTGCTACCTTTGTAACTGCCAGAAACTACTAGAGCTTCTATTACTCTGAAGCTAAAATGTGACTAAAACAATTGTTACAACTGCTGTTTATGTTACAACCTATTACTCTGAAGCTAAATTTGTGACTAAAACAATTGTTACAACTGCTGTTTATGTTACAACCTATTACCCTGAAGCTGAAATGT